TTTCGACACAAATTGATGCAGTTCTTCGAATCTACGGCCTCGACTGCCTGGTGGGTCTGTCGTCTGAGAGCAGTTTCTGTTTTTATGTCTGAATCCTCTGCTGGATTGCTGGTTGCTGACCAAGTGCGCCCCCCTCTGGCTGTTTGGTGCGTCAGTGATATTTTGTGGGTTCCGACCCTTTTGTACTGAAGGACAGTGGAGTTTAAAATTGATGAGAACAGAATGTAGCCACACTTTTAAGTTTGATATTGCGCAGTACGTTTCACAATAAGTTTATTTTATTTTTGAAGACTAAGATGTTGAAAGTGCACTTTTGAATTGATTAACTTAAAATATGACAGACTTTTTTTAGACTATATTTAAATTATGGTTAACTAAACATGATTATTAAAATGTTGGATCAGGTTAAAATGATTAGAAATCTAATAATTGCATTTTCATTGTCTGTACATGACAAGTGTTTGTTTTGGATAAGACACTGAATGTTTTTACAGTTTATTCACTGTCACAATGTAATAAATTCCATAATGAGCTTTCTGTCCTTTCGGCCGGTTTCTTTTCCTTGAATCAGAGTCATCTGGATTCTGGTGAAGATGGATAACGGACTTGGTTTTGGAACCAATTTATTCTGATTTCAGCCTTCTGCCTGTAGCTGCAGTCAGCTGGGCATGTTGGAGGTCTGCCTGCTGCTGGTTTACCTGAGGTGACCGCAGCCAGCGCCAGTCGGACTCACTAGGCTGTCTTGTGATGTGCGTGTTCCTGAAGATGTGAAACCTCATGATGCCGAAGGCGTCAACAGTTCTGCTGCTTCCAGAGAAACCCAGTCATGTGAAACGACCAGAGAGCAGTTAGCCGGGAAGCTGCTTTGAAAATCAGCTGATTGGGTCTGATTACTTCTGACTGGGAGATTTTCTCTATAAACATGTAGTTTATTCAATAAATGTGGTCAGTTTGTGTTATAGAGCCGCTGAAGGAAGGAGGAGTTAGATGTTAACGAATTACACTGCAGAAACAAAATGTATTTCTGGTTTCTAGAGCAGATATAGAACTGCTGACATCAGACAGCTTACAAGTAACTAACAAAAATATGGGAGCTTGTTTTAAGTTAATGATTCCTTAATATTGATGAAAAAGTTCGAGTTATAAGTGAAATAATCTGGAAAAATGTCATTATTATAACTTTTAATAAGAGAAAGAAATAAAAAGTGTGGAAGGAGAATGGAAACAATAGAGTCAAAGGAAGTGATGTCACTGTCCGTCCATCAGAGAGACATGCGTCCCCTTCAGACATCAGGACACATTGAAATGGATCCCACTGCAGCACGTTAGGACAGCAGCGTTACCATGGAAACCAACAACAGAACTGCTGCAGACATCAGAATGGTTCTGATGGCAAGCAGGGGGCGCGGCCTAAGGGGGCGTGGCCTAGGGGGCGTGGCCTCATTAACTCAAAGTCGGGAGAAGGCGGCTCGCTGCTGCAGAATAACGTCCAGTAAAAAGTGGCCTCTGGTTTTACCCGATTCTCCTTTTCTGTCAAACTGCGACTGAAGAAGAACTAAAGAATCCATTTTCTAACCAGACTAACAGATTCAGTGAGTCGGACTTTAAATAGGACAAAAAGCTGCACTACCAGCTGCAGACGTTGCAGTAACTCCGTAAATATTGACGTGACTTTAACCCACGTTTTGATTTAATCGTCTTCTCAGATCCAGCTGCAGAGACAACTGAGAACAATTACCTTTGACATCATAATTAATATCTACATCCATAACTGTGGAGTTGAGTTCAGACTGCACAGCGATATGGAAAACAATCCAAAACAGACGATACTGATTTATATCGCAATATAAAACAAAAGTATTTTAATGCTCATCTGAAGAATATTTTACAGATTTATTTTTAAAAGTTTAACATGTCAAACAACTGATTTGGATAAACAAAAGAGAAATATTTTAAACTTTGGAACATGGATTTATCTTTTATTGATGTCTAATAAGTAAAATATAAATTGTCAATCTCTCCTATGTGCAGCTCATTTTAAATATCGCTTTTTCAAAAAGCAATTAGAAACAAAATCTAGAAAGTCAAAAATAAACTATTTAAAAACAACTGAGGAAATAAACAATTTAGTTATTTATTTCCTCAGTCCAAATTTCAGACGTTTTTAAGAGAAAATATCTAAACAATAACAAAGACATCGGCTATGGTTGCAAAGAACAGATATTTGAATTGTTCCTCAGTGCAAACTGCAGCAGCTGCCAAAGACATGAAGTAAATAAAACGGACCGTTTCTCTGCACTGAACGCTGCTTCGATTTCTGTCCGACTTTAAACAGCAGCAGCTCTCCGGACTGAACCGTTCAGGTTTCATTATTATTATTCATCTCGTCTTTAGTTTTTTCTCCTCTTTTCGTTCATGTCCTTCCTGTTACTTGAAGCGAGAGGCTGCAGCTGCAGAAACATTAGCATGCTAACATTAGCGTTAGCATGTCTGGCTGCTGCTAATCTAACTTAGCCTGGCAGTATTCCAGCCTCATGATTGGTCCAGCAGGAGCAACTCTTCCTGATTGGCTGTTCCGGAAGTGGATGCAGGAACTATTTTAGAGCAGGAAACAGGAAACAGTAAGGAGGTTCTGATCCAGACACCGGTTTGGATCCAGTGAGGAGTTCTCCTCCTGCTCGGGTCTACAGACGTTCTCAGGAAACGAGTCTCATTTCAAACAAAATCAGTCTGAGCTTCCTGCTGCCGCTCGTTTCCCACCAGTAACCCAGACCTGAACACCAACTGGGCCCAGTTCAGGTTCTGTAACGGTCCTTCTCACCTCTGGTCCCGGTCGCCATGTCCGCCACTTTCTGGAAGGCGTCCAGGAAGGCTCCAGTGAGCAGGAGGGTCGTCCTGCACAAAGCACACAAACATCCAGAAATATCACAGCTCCGAGCTTCCGGTGCGGTTCCAAACAGCCAGCCGGCGTTCGGCCGATCGGCCACCAATAATCACCTGATTTATTAGAGAACATTCAGAAACACTTTCAGCAAGAAGAACAAAACTAATCTGAGCTTCAGACATTTCACTGACTTGGCATTACCAATCACAGATCACCAGATACCACAGGAAACGGACCAGCAGAACCGCCGCACTAAACAGCTGTAAACATTTACTCTGAACAGGTTTACGCATTTCCTGCAGCAGAACCAAAGCAGGTCCATCCTGCCAGCTGAGCTGCTGGATCCAGATGA